TGTTCTGTGTTTGTTTTGGGGGTTTTTTGTTTGTTTATTTGTTTCGGTTTTTTTACATCTCAGACTTGCTTGCTGTCCTCATCTTTCCTTGTTCTATTTTCCAAATTATCTATTATTCTATTCCACTCTAAGTATTTTACTGGACAAAAGTATTTTAATTGCTTAGAACTCAGCAGTCTCCTAGGGTCCATCTGTATGGGTATTTAGAATCAGCTTTGGAGGTCACCTCAGCTCAAGCGGCATAAACTGCTCTTCAATACCGATACTGCTCTTGGCAATACCATCCACAATATTAAGCATGTTTCCCATTTGCTAATAACAGAAACGAGATACAAAAGAGCTAGGAATTAAAGTTGTTGGACTGTCAGGGTAAAATTCCTAAGCTCAAAGGCTGCTACATATACATACATTGAAAACACACTGCAGAAAGAGAAGAGACAGGAGCTGCACAAAATGAGACAAAATTCATATTCAGAATTTAAGGGCTTTCAAGACAGGTTCGACTGCCATATGGCTGAGCTTTTAAAACAAAGCTGTCAAGACTTCAGGGCACTCTTTAAGATTGGTTGTAAATGTCACTTTAGACAAAGTCTTAGTCTTTACCATTCTGCATCTTTCTGGAATTTGGCCAACTGTGCCCTCAACTTCTCTTCCTGTCCATGCATTGACTGAATTTGGAATTCTTTAAAGGCAGACTCCTTAGAAATCTCAATCAGATGAGAGTCTTGGCCCGTTTTTAGCACTAGTTTCTTCTTGAAGTCTACATACAAGAAACCCCCCCCATGTTAATATATACTTAAGACAATTAACAAAACATGTGATGCAATCTTGGATATAAAACTGTTCAATGACTTTTTTTTTTTAATTAGGAGGTCAAAGGGCCTTTTTCATGAGCCAAATGCATATTGTAAACCATGCATCTCCAGTCATAAAAATGCAGGCCACCTAAGCAATTCTTTAGTTTCCAGTGGCTGCCTTGGACTGGCAGCTGCCTCTTTCCAGGCTGGCTATGAAAGATGTTCTTTTCTTCTGGTGTGTTGTTCCTTTCTCTAGGTTCCCAGATCTTTCTTTTCCACGTGACCTCATTTTCTTGTTAAACCTTGAGGAGATGTTTCTTGATTGTGTCAATCATAAAACTAATGTTTATATGAATATACTGAAATTTTACTACAAATTTTGTCGCAATAATATACATAAAACATAGAACAGCCCAGGTTGGGAAGATCATCTGGTACAACCTTTCATGGGAAAGGGAGCCTAGATGAGATTATCTAGTACCCTGTCCAATCATGTCTTGAAAACCTCTAGTGATGAGGACTCTACCATGTCCCTGGGGCAGTTGTTCCAATGATTGATTGTTCTCACTGTAAAAAAAAAAATAGTTCTTTTTTACATTGAGATGAAACCTCTCCCAGTGCAACTTGTACCCATGGCCCCTTGTCTTCTCCACGTGACTCCTTGTAAAGGGAGCACCTCCATCCTCTTTGTAGCTGCCATTAATGTACTAGAAAACTGTAATGAGATCCCCTCGAGCCTTCTCCAGGGAGAAAAGACCCAACTCCTTCAGTCTTTCTTCACAGGGCAGGTTCTCCAGCCCTTTGATCATCTTTGTGGCCCTCTCCAGTCCGTCGTGCCTTTTTTCAATTGTGGGGACCAAAACCGGACACAGTACTCCAGGTGTGGTATGTGTTTAACCATGAATTACTGTGAGCTTTTCACATAAGTAAGTTGGGCACAAAACTGGTAAGTATGATGTTCTGAATTTCTTTCATCACAGCCTATGAAACAAGATAAATCAAGTCACTCACTTTCTAATAAGAGCATCTTTCTCTCTTAAACAAGCACTGTGACTCCATTCTCTTCTGCATAGCTCAATTTCCAGACTTCTATGTCTCATCTGCAGTTCTCTAACCTGCTGCTTCAACTTTTTAAACTGTTTGACTTGGGCTTCTTTCACTGAAGCTGGCATTGCATCCTTTTCCTTGGCAGCATGAGCTAGTTCTTCATGCCTAGAAGTTGTAGAGAGACAGAATGAAGTGAGGTTTCAAGCAACACAAGCACGTTATTTTTTAGGACTGTTGATTTACTTTCTTATCAATTTGGTTCAAGCAAATTCAAAGAATCATTGTCGGAAGCAGTAGAAACAGAAATCAATATCCACTTGTCAGTAGAACAGGTTGTGGGGAGGTCTTTTGCAGTTGTTTTTTCAAGCTAAGAATGCCCCTATTTAGCTGGACTTAAGACCAGGGCTGAATCCTTCTTATACCACTGCAGAGAGTTTAACTCCAATTTATCACAGAACTTTAAGTTTGTGATTAGCACAAAGAACAACAGTATTTCACCTAATTATGGGATCAGGGTGATCCTAAATTTAAGTTTTGGTTTTTTGTTTTTTTAAGATGACTCATAGAGAAGCTATTTTAACAGGTGAACTACTCCATTCAACATACTCTTTTACCATACTGAAAATATTCTTCACAGTAATTGAACAATTGAAAGACAGCTATGATCAGGTGGCCCAAATAAGAGACTGTAGGGATCCACGGAGCAAAAATGCTTCCTTGAATGTTCAGTTTTCATTCACAGATTAGTTTCCTGAGCGTGCACTCACACAAAAATAGAGACCAGGTTTCAAGTAAGAAGTGAGTTGTTAGAAGAAAAGACCACCAACTAGTGCCTACAGAAAACTCAAATCTAACAGTAAATAAAAAAGGAGACATGCAAGCAAGTTTCATAATGTTCTTACACTCTGAAATTGACCTGCATATAAATCTTCAAAATATATCCAAAATTTTGGATATAAAGGATTAAAGCAAAACAGAAGGAACAGCAATTAAACTATGAGTAAGTCTTATTTCTTAAATTTGAACTAGTGATGAGTAAAACATAAAAGATAAAAGCCCCAGTAATACTCTGGTTTGAATGAGTTATTTTCTGTCACTATATTCACAATCTGTCTGTAGCTGCTTGAGAAAGCATAAACTTGTGACCGAACACAACTGGACTTACTGGATTCAAATCAAGCATGTGAAATATGAGACACCAAAACTAGCCGCACACTCTAGAATTGGGATGAACTAAGTTTTTTCATTATATTTACTGCTTGGAAGAGGTACTCCTTTTTGCAATAAAGGCAGAAGCTACCATTAAACCATTAAAACTTCTAAAGTAAAATTTTATTTTTAAAGTGAGACAGATTACATCCAGAAAGAATGTAGCAGAATTAACCTGAATCCATGCGACTTAGGAAATATTTCATACAAAGGGTTACTTCTTTCTGTTGTAACAATATATATTACCAGATCAATTAATCTACGTACACCATCCCAAGCTGTTGCTAAAATAAAGAGTATGTGAAGAAGAGAAGTTGTGGAGTTGCAGAGTCTGTGAAAAGCAGTTTATTTTGATCCTAATCAAAATTGTACAATACCAAGCATCGTTCACAGCAACAAAATCATTGAACTGGTTTTCCTTCTCCAGTCTCAAATTGAACATTTCTGCTGTTTGCAGTGATTCTGGTGTTTGCATTCCAGTCTCTTTGAGGGCCTCCAGTTCTCCGGTCAGCAGCTTCACCTTAGAAAGGAGAAGAATAAGACTTAAGAGTTCTAATGAGAGCCTGATATAACCTAATTTTTTAAGAGGTCCAGAGCCCTTACACAGTTGAAGTGTTAGCATCAGCTCCAGAAATAAACAAAACAGTATAGAAAGTTGTGAGGTGTTTTTTTTTTTGGGGGGGTGGTTCTTCTGTTTGTTAGTGTTTTTTTTTTTAATTTGTAAGTAACATTTTGCATGGTATAAGCATTAGATCAACAAAGCACTTTAAAACACCTTCCCCATAAGCTATAACCTCTGCTGTTATTTAGATTTCTACTCCTATATTACTGCTAAATATCTGTTTTGTATCCTCTTCCTACACCTATTACCTACATTAACATTAATCCTGCATGCTACCCCTTCCTATCCGCCTAAAATTCCTTTTACACAGTTTTTTATTCAGTGACTTATTGGCTTCCCCTGCAGCTGACCTCACTAATACATGAGGGAAATGACTGCAGATGAGCTCTCCTTCCCTTGCTTAACACTTCCACCACCAATTCAGGTGCAAATAATATATGTAAAAAAATATATATAAAGAATACATAACTCAATATAGACACTATGTTTCATAAAGAAGAAGATGTAACAGCATCTAGCACACGAGGCCTACTGAGAGCTATTACATTCAGATGCAGCTACAAGCAGTATTAGAAACTGAAACAGCAGCTATTTAATCAAGCACTCAAGTTTGAAAATTGCAAAGATTAAAGGTTTCTTCTGAAGTACTATCAGAGTTATATTGCATATCACAGAGTAAGCAATATGTGCAAATTTACATTTAATAAGTATATATGCAGTTGCAGTTCCTTTGTTCCTACTGAGTCAACAGCAGTTGGTCATGCAATCTTTATAGTCAAGACCGCAATAAGACAAAGTGTTTTCAGGTCCATTACTATAGCAGCGCCCTTTAAAGAAGGCCCAAGACAAGGCAAGAAAACAAAACCAGAAACTAAACTCCAATTGTGTCAATATTCAAGATGCAGGAATCCATGGATACCACTAATGGCCAGGCAACCTTTTGCTACCCTAATAAGCCTTTGGCAAGGTAAAGTTTGTAGGCAGAAGTAATTTATTGTATTAGACAAAAATCAACACAGCTGGAAAAAGCTGGCAGTCTTTCAGGCATACAAGCCCTCTTTCTGAAAGCTTGTCTGCTTTTCCCAACGCTATCAGCTGGTTTAATGTGAGGGTTTTTTCCCCCTCTACCTATACGCCTTGGTTTGTTGAATTATTAAGCTAACAGTTAAACCACCACCAAAGCAAGTGAACACAGGCACCAGAGAACCATCCAAGTAATGTTGTATGATGGTTAGCGAAGACTGCACATGCAGAGAACACAGACTTTGGAAGAGTGAATTCCTCATTACTAGCATCAGAAAGATGAGACAGGCCTTTCAAAGACCTACATATAGTTTTTGGTTGTGTAGGAAAAAACCCAGTCACTATGAGTGAAATTAAGATGCATACCACAAATATCCCTGCTTACTGCTATCCTGGAAACAGTTAGTTCAATACATAGATGGAGGAAAACCAGCAACAACAACAGTCATCTTTTCATGTGTTTCACGCAGGAATGAATTGAGATTATAATAAACGCATTCATTCTGTGAGTAAAGGGTAACAGCATAAAAATAAGTTACCTTAACTTCATGGGACAGAACTAAGTTACCCATTTCAATTGTCTGCTTTTGAAACTCACATTCTCCCTTTTTCATTTCTGCATCAAATTGGCTAGCAGTTCCTACAAGGGGAACATTAGATAGGTAACACCAGTACAATGGTACTGATGGAAACACTATTGTCACAGGCTTTTTTAAACACTGTACAAGGGGTTTAATCATTGCATAATCTTTCTGATTTTCATTAGAGCAGAGAATGTGCTGAATGAAACCTCTCATCTGGTGTATGGTAGGTCCCCTAACACGACCTGTACACCAAAGGGGAATTTAAAGAAAGACATCAGCCAAATGGCATCCTTTGCAAAAGAAGATCAGATTCCATAACCACAGGGGAAAAGAAGAAGGGGAAAAAAAAAAAAAAAAAGGAAAAAAGGAGATCCTTATTTTAAGAAAAAAAACTCCAACACCTCACCGACATTAAAGTTCAATTCCCCTACAGACATCTGAGCATTTGTAATACGTTGAAGACTATCCGTTATGGAAATATCTGAACTTTCTTTTAACTTTTAGAGCAGCAGAAAAGTGCTATATCTCCCCAGTGCTAAAAGCTGTGGTTTTTTTGTTTTGTTTTGTTGTTGTTGTTGCATGGTGGTGGTTTTTTTTTCTTTTTTTTTTAAACTGGACACTTTACTTAGCAAATGGGACTGAACAGTGTTGAGCTATACAAAAAGAAACTGAATTAAGTTATTTCAGCCTTTTTTGCCACAACTTAAATAAAATTTTAAATATAAAATAACAAATATTAACAGAAGTTAAATTTATATTATAAGTACACGAAGAAAGGATATTGATTATTATGTATATAGTACTGTATGTACTACAAGCAGTTAGGACATCCATCTTCTTATACACACACATATACGGAATTAATGGGGATAAACATAGAGGACGAGGTCACAAGGGATTTTGGCTAATTGATGCAATATCATGTGTTAGGTTAAGGGGAATGACTGCAAAGAGACCCAATGGCAAGCACGTAAGATGTGCTTCTCTGGTTTAAATCATGAACAATGGAGATACCACACTGGAGGAGAAAAAAAAAGTTAAGAGAAATCGTGTGTATTAGATGATGTGCCCTTATGCTTGTGAACAGCAGTTAATCCGCTTTGTCATTACAGTTTAACCACAGAACACACAAAGGTAACTTCTAAATCAAGCCAGTTATCAAGTATTGTTCAAGTGAGAAGTGCTCATACTCTTCCAGGTAGGTTCATAAACTGTCTGTGGGAAGCCCGTGGGTAAAAGACTCCTGGACGAAGATGGATTATTTTAGCAGGACTACTATACTGAGGGCAGTAAGATTTGGATTGGCAGGTGTTGGGTGCAAGACGTAATTGCCTAACAATCTCTTTCACCACCTCCATTTATATTATATATTGGTTTGCTTGACAGGCCGAAAATTAACCATTCTATTTCTAATGATTAAACACATTCATATGTAAATAATTAAAAGTCATCTTAATATCAAATACATTTTTATACAAAAACAAAGAAGGAAAGTTTTGTTGTTCTTTAAAGTTTGTAATATACATAGATGTGGTGTAATGCCTCCCTAAGGTATCACAGTTGAAGGTCAAATTTCACTGTTAGTAAGATTATCCTTTTATGATTAAATGATAGCAATATAAGAAGCAGAAGGGAGGGAAAAAAGCCTTGTAACTAGGAGTATGATAAACAACGTAGAGTTACCCATCCTGCCTAAGGCTGCCTCTGCTTTTTAGACGTTGACCTTTCCTGCAGTTTCAAGGTTAACACATTTAGCAGTGTGCTGTCTACATAAAATAATCTTACACAATCTCAGATTACTAAATACATGCTTAACAGTTCCTTAAAAGGGGCAGCTGCCAGACAAGCAAAGCAACAGCTACTACACAAGTAGTGCATAATTTTCTAAACTGTCATTACAGATCTCATCAATTTAAGCAAAAAAGGGCAAAAAATAAAAGCTTATACAACTACAGCAATGTTAAACCAGAACATTCTAATAAAAAAAAACCAAAACAAAACTGAAAAAAGGATTGCTAGATGGCACTACAGCAATACAACATTGTTTCTCCATATTCTTATACCTGTTTCTGACAAGCAAGCTGTCCTTCCAGTTCTTGGATTTTTCTCTCCATCTGATGTTTCAGGCTCACATACTCTTGATGCTGATGATCTGTGTGACTGTTCCTAGAGCTATGAACAAAAATAAAACAAATTTACATTAAAGGGCATCTCTGGTGACCTAATGAGACATACATATGTAAATTTTTTTGAACGATAACACGTAACTATAAATACAAGATGCTATAATTTCCTAAAGAAAGTCACCACAAAATTTTTTCTCACAAGTCAGTTGAAACCAATTATAACAGTATATGCCATTTCTCAAAACTATACTTCAAAAGTTAGTTGCATATGAAGTATCAAGGTTCTACTGAAAAGTAGTGCAAGACTTCCACTTACGTATAACAGCATTCCTCCTCCACCCAAAAAATTCTGTTACCTAAGAAGAAATTGCAAAACAAGGGCTGCCCAGCAGAAACCTGAGCTTGTAGATACATTTAAAAATAGAAGCAGCTCCCTATCTTTTCCTCTCCTCCCCCCAGTATTCTTACTTGCTATCAACAGAAAAAGCTTCTCTGAGATACAGTGGAAGAATACCAGTAAGGCGAGCATTTAAAACAAATTCGAAGAGCTGATACTGCTACCATGACCAGTAAGTTATCTAACGATACACTGAACCTTTTCAAGCTTTGGATTTCATCCCTGCAAGACTCAACAGGCTTGATGCAGCCTGTTACATGGCCAAACAGACCTGGATTGATATTGTGCAGTTGTGCAATCTTCTGATGAGATTCAACTCTGCATTACAGTTATTTTATGTAGCTGAATGACCGCTGCATTTGGTTAGATAAGGTTGATTATACAATAACCACATACACAGAACTGCAAACTAAACTGGATAGTCACAAACAGCTAAATGCATATTCACTTTCATATTCTGCTAGATTTTGCTTTTAAATTTACACTTCACCTGAATTAATCTGAATCCTATAGCCAACACTTATGCATATAAATAAAGTCTAACAGAAGTGTCATCTCAGTGTAGTCTAGACAGGCACTTTTACACCTCCCATGTTCATCCCACAACCCTCCAGGGCAAGGCAGATCAGAATAATAATTGCTGTACTGCTCAGTGATCAGTATCCAGCTCAGCCTGACAAAAAGGCAGTGATGGGTATAAGACTCAAACTCCTCCTTCTATTCCCAAAGGATACGCTCCATATAAAATTCCTGAACTGGCTTTAAATGAATTTACATATGCTCCAGAACCACAGTAACATCAATCAGTTAGTGACCTATAAGGAATTCCAGATCCATGTCCAGATCACTTCTAATAACTAAAAAAAAATTATTTAAAACTTATCCAGCCATCTCCACATTATAAATGCAGTTTGACCCAGAACACTTTACAGCAGTTACCATTTTAAACAGAGAATAATCCCAAAGATACTATTATATCTGAAGACAGTAGTTATATTAAACAAGAATGATGTGCAGACAGATCTCAAGAAATAAGCATTTATTCCCCTCCCTTATATGTAACCCTTATTCAAGGTTTAGAAGTCTATACAGAATAATAAAAATTAGTGAGAATGGCCAAACTAAACAAGTGCATTGCTTTAGCTATCTTCACATTTTAATTGGTTGTATTAGTCATTAATCTTGGTCCTGTGACTGGATATGCCCCAACAGACTTCTTTCCTTCACAGAGGCCTATCAGAGAAGGTGGGACAAAATGTATTTAAGAGTGCACAAACCCAACTCCTATCGTAAGATTAGCTTGCAATGGCTTAAAATAGCTGAAAGGCTGAACTGTTTGTGTTGAATCCACAGCACAATATAGCAACTAATGTCTAGCAACCTTAGATAATATTACTGACAATGGTTGATACCATTATCATTTGTCTCCTCACGTACACAGAAGACAAGTGCATCTTGATATAACACACAGGAGACATATTAATACTTTCAGATTCACCCCATTTCCCAGAGGTGTTTCAGCGCCCAAGGAAAAAGCATTTCCTTCCGACAAATCCTTTTCTACTCCCCACACTATGTTTCCCTTATAATCATACCATCTCCACCCAGTCATATCGTCTCCCCAGCATACACCCTTGTAAATTATGTAGGGGGACGCTGTATGTTTAAGAGCATCCTCACTTTCACTTAATGCTATCTTTTCTCTAACACGTTGCCAGAAATGAGACAAGTCACTGTGGAAACCAAGATATAGGAAGTGTACAGATAGCCCAAGTCGCTTCTGTTAGCCCTCACTCTGTTCATGTTCTAGGTGTTCCTCTGTCAGAATAGATAATCATATCTCCATGCTCAAAGTGCTCTCTACTGTATGAATGATGTTACTGCTTTATCCCAATCCAAATACGTCTTAGAGAAGCTAAATTTCTCTTTTCCTGCATACTATTCTAAGGAAGTCACATCTCACCTGCGAAACTGTTCCAGCTCTAATTTATGTTCTTCAATGTGTTGTCAACAGCAATAATGAAGTTTGCATCTTTTTCTTCTTTCCTTGACAAGCATTTGCTCCACTTCACCCAGTTGTACTCCAAGATCACTAATCTCTGCCTGGTTAACATTTTCAGATGTTTTCAGATGAGTGACTGTGACATCATAGTGTTCTAACTCTTTATCTCTCTCTTCTAAAATTCTTAGGTTATAGACAAAATCTGCTTTCAAATTGTTAAATTTTTCATGCCCGCCTTGGAGTTGCTTTTTGACATCTTGCAGCATTTTCTTTTGACACGGGAACTGGCAAGCATGTAGCTCTATTTTCTTTCCACTGAAGGAGATCATTTAGTTCTTTCTCCACTTGTAACACTACTATAAATCCAAAACAGGAGCTGACAGAAGACAGTTAAGACTGATAGCTAATACAACTCAAGTATCTTGTCACTCCCGATCTACTGCATAGCTGATAATTTAAAATTCACTGGTAATTAATTTAAATTGTAAAGTTTCCTGGACCATCAGGCATTAGCCGCTTCTAGAAGCAGAATTTACTTTTATTTATAGTCCTGCATTGTCCAGGGACTTTCCAAATTAGTTATGAAATGCCACTAAATTCTGGGGTGGGAAAACATAATTTTCTCCTTTCTTTATTCAGATTGAAAATAGAGGCATAAAAAGATTTAGTCATTGTAAACTGCACGCATATTTCTCTTTTCTTGAAGACATTCATAACAAGTCAAGTCACAGTCCAGCCTTCTCTTATATCAACAATATTAACATCTGTGTCCCATTTGTCTTCTCCTCCCACAATTACTCACGGAAGTACAAAGCTACTGTTCTGTCCACAGTCAAATCCACCTTGAAGTTACTTTTCAGAAAGGCCAACAGCTATGAGGAAATAGCTGTATTTCAGTAACATTAACTGTATCTTTAAAACTAAAAAAAAAAAAACAAAAAACAAACCAACATAGAGGTGGTGCTGTTACTGGTAAAACCCTTTACCTGCTTCACTTCCTACTGTTTATTCTCCATATTTCCCTCATATCTAATTATAAACTCTGTAGAAGAAAAAACATTATTTCTAAGGACCATGGTTGCTTTAAAAAAAAAGAAAAAAAAAAAAGGAAAAAAAAGATGGTAATTTCTGCTCAGATTTCTCCAGAGATTTTCCCAAACCTCTGGAGTCAATACAGCTTCTCTCACTGTACAGTATTATTCTGTGTCAGTGGTTACAGATAATCCCATCTGCATAAGCACAGGGATGCAGAGAACAAATCAGACAAGCATGCCTTTCAAATAGCGGCTCTTTAATCTCTTTAAATGAAAGAGAGATTTCCAGATCAGCAAATGTGATGCAATATCTCTATGCTAAAGGATGCCACTATTTAAAAAATATTTTTCTTCACAAACCAACTAGACAACTCTAATTCTCCAGAATCAAAAAATGAGTCTCTGATCGTCGGCCATGACAAGTATAAAAAAAAAACCTCAAGCTTGCTCTTCCCAGGTACGCTGAGCAAACAACACTGCTAGAGGACACAGTGATCTGGTGGCCTTTCAATTCTGCTGTTATTCCTAAGGCAATTAAAATAAAATTATGTTTTCTCTTTGTATTCTGCTTCTTGTTAGCAATCTTCAAATTGTTCTACCATGTAGAAAACAGCATAAGTAATATCTTCTTCATTTGGGTAAGCAGCAATAATTATCTTTTGTAAAAGTCAGTGTCGTGGATATTCATGAACAGTACTGCCTCCCTGCCTATGACACGCAATGCTAAGAAAGATTTGTTCTTTCTGTATCTTCCTTTCAGCTACTGTTGCTCCAAATGCATCTGATGGCTACCACAGTTAAAAATATTAACTAAATCTGACTTTCTTCTCCCCTCTACCCCAGTCATAAATACATTAAAGATAAAAAATGCCTATGAGAAGCTTTCTGGACTCAAGGCACTGAAAGAAACTATGGTCAGTCTATACCCATTAAGGTATCAAAATACTTTTGTAAGTGCCTTTTAAAAACCTGACTTATGCTTCATTAGCTAAAATTAGCAATACATTATTAGACAAGACCTTTGTGTAAGGAATCAAAAACAAGACCACAGCTCCAACCTATTCCTTCCTTGAAATCATCAAACCGAACTCACAATTTTTCTTGGAAGAGGTGGTTAAGAGAAGTGATACTTCTTTTACAATTCCTCTCTACAATTACCTTAGAATTAAAAGGCACCACACAGTTTCCTATGAAAACAACCTTCCTCCCTATCTCCATATATCTTACCTAAATTAATGGTACTGGTAAATTGAAAGTGGTATCCTGAGGTGAGTTTGGGTTACATATAACATAGGAACCATTCATTTCATATAAAAATATGAATGAATGAGCCTTCCTGTAATTTTAAAATATTGCTTTCCATCACAGAGAGCTGTATTTCTTAGAAATGCAATTTAATAGGGGAGAAGGGAGCATTTTGCCTTTGATAGCAGCAGTATTTCTAATTGCAAGTTAGTTTCAATAAGGACCATAATGGAAATAACTGTAATTTTAGATATAAATTGCACCAATTGCCTGGATATCTCACAGTCAAAAGAGGAATAGTAAACCTATATATGATGACATTAAAAGGTGACTTAGGAAACAGCATACATCTAAGTAAGAGACAACAT